GATACCATACCAAACCAAGACAAACCAAAGCAAATAAGTATTAAAACGATCGCTTAACTCCGATTTCAGAAACAAATTTCTTTTCAAATTTCCTTTCGATTGGAATAGCTTACAGATAATTTCACTGTCATTTTTTTTTTAATTCTTTTATCTTTTAACTGCTTATCCAAATTCAAATTGACGAAACAACGAAAAATCACACACATCACATATTGTAATTATGAAAACTATTTTTATGTAGATATATAAAACAAACCAAAACAAATAAGTATTAAAACGATCGTTTAACTTCGATTTCAAAAACAAATTTCTTTTCTACTTTCCCTTCGATCGGAATAGCTTACAGATAATTTCACTGTCATTTTTTTTAAATTCTTTTATCTCTTAACTGCTTATCCAAATTCAAATTGACGAAGCAAAGAAAAATCACCAGTTAGAAATGTAGATCGCGGCGACAAAACAAAAGAATAATCGCGTTTTGTCGCGTGCAAGGCACATTTTCACGGTATAAAAAAATAATGCGAAAAGCCGCATTTGTTTCATCGCTCTTTTTAATCCGATTCAAGATGTGGTAGAAAAAAAGAATATTTTGGATTTCTTTTAGAGCTAAAGAACTTGCTTTAGAAGGTATGTCTTTTATAAACAATAGCTCCGAAAATTTCATGTCTCAGTGAACACAGGGGAGTAAAAACCTTCTTACATAAAATGCACTTATATCGCTGCTGGCTAAGATGGAATGGTTAAAAAAAAATGAGACGAATCAAAAATAAAAAAAAAACGAGAGTGAAAAAAGAAGGAACTATTCGCGGCGATACATACTGTATGATTTTTTTTAATCTCTAATATATTCTCTTCTTTTTTTCTGTTTTACAAAGTTCAATGTATAAAGAAAGTCTAGTCTTTATTTATAAGGATTGATCGAATGCGAATTTTGGAAGATAGAAGTAAATACTGGGTATAATATAATATAATACTGGATATAATATACAATTGATCCAACAACTTTTACAAACGGTATCAATTGAATGCTGAAATTTCTTTTTTATCAAGCTTCCCGTTTACTCGATTTCAAATTTTTTTATAAAATATAAAAAATCCATCACAATTAGGTATGGTAACGTTACTTTATAAAGTAACGGATAAGAGTACAAGTACTTAAAGCGAAATTGATGAGTTAAAAATGAAAGGTAATTATTAAAAAGTAAAAGTACCAAACATTAAAGTACTGATTTTAAGTGCACTGAAAAAATTTTAACTTCGAAGTAAAATAAACTTTTATTAAAAAGCATGTGAGGAATTGAAAGTTAAAATATTTAATTAATCTGCTATCTTTATGAAAAGGGATAATAAAACTTTATCAAAGATAGTTTGACGACAATAGGATAATTTGTCTACGAATGTGTATATTTTACGCAAAAATAGTCATTGTCTGTAAACAGTCACTGACAGCATAGTCACTGTCAGTAAGGAGTAGTCAAGTGCTTCACAATATTGAAGCAATTATGATTTTGCACTAGATTTTCTTCTGAGGCTATGTGAGAATACTAAAAACGTTCGATTACCGAATCACTTTGGCAGTGATTTTGATAAAATTAACAATTAAATATGGTTTTATAATATGTGATAAAATTCGGAAAAATGTAGTAATTTTATCATTATACCTTGAAGCATGGCATAAAAACCATTTATTTGGGTAAATTTAATTTTCAGTTTTGTATTTTTTACTAAATTTGCGTACTAAATTTTACTAAACCATATGAACGGAAAATTACCTAATAAATGGTTTAAATACCGTATATTTGGGTTTTGTTAACCAGGATTATGTTTTTTTCTTCTTTTTTTTTCACTAAAAATGTCATTACTTTACAGTACAGGTGATTTCTATAGAATTTTATCGCTAGTTATTTTGCTTAAAGTCTTTCAAATAATTTTAAAAAATGTTTAAGTGGAGTTTTTGGGAGAGTAATAATTTCTGTCTTCATTTTCGCTCAAAATGGTTTCATTTTTCTTAAACAAAGTAACGAAAGTACGAGTAAAAGTACTAAAATTCACATACACAGTGCAAATATATACTCCTTAAATTTTTTTTACATTACTCGAAACGAAGTTAAAAGTATTGTCATATATGTTCACAGTAAAAAAAAATTGAATAATATTATAAAACTTGATAAGAAAGACATGCATATTAGATGTTTATAACTTTAATTTTAAATGATTAACATAGATTTGTACAATGTTAAAAACAGTTTTTGTTGTGATATTGATTGGTATAGAATGAATAATATTTTTAGAAGAAGAAAAAATCCCTTAATCGAATTTCACTTTTGTTCCGACCGAACTATGTAGGGGTCAAAGAACTGGCCTTGCATCAGAAAGGTTCCAAGTTCGAATCCCTGGCAAGGCATGGATGTTCTTTCATTCTCTGTACTATCTGTCGTTACTGTGGGAGCAATGTTGTTCCTCCCAATATGGTGCCCCTGAAAGAATGACCAACATATCTGCCCTGTATATGCCTAAAAAGTGACCAACTGTTAACGTAGGTGGACTTCGGAAATAAAAAGAAAATTTTTGCTTTTGTTTTCTATTTGCAACATATTTTTTTCATGTTGCATATTACACGTTTTTTGAATCGGAAATACTTATACATTTATCTTCATAAAATACAAAAAAAAAATTATACCCACTTAATATCTTAAGGCATATTGGTAAATTTCTATGATGCCAGAATCACCATTTTCAACTGAGAAAAGATTTTTATTGATACTCTCTTCTTCAGTATATTCATAGTGTTATTAAAAAAATCACTGAATTACAGTTCAATTCATTTCATACAATGCATAAAATTACATTTAAAATCAATGTTCAAAAGAAAGAAACATTCATGACAAAATAATTACTGTACAAATAAGGAAAAAATTCCTGTTTTAAAAGGTTTTTCATATAATTCGGGCTCTTCGCTGACTCTCTGTTTCTACGTTAGGCACATTCCGGCTTTTAGAAGCTGAATAATTTTCATTTACTTTTATTACTTCCCATCGTTTTATTATTTTATTTATTTTTATTATTCGGGATCAAAATTTTCTTTTTTTGGCGGGATGAGTACTTGAGTTACTTATAGTGCATAAAAGTCAAATCTCATGACATGGTAATCTTAAATTTTCAAATTCTTTACTATTTTGGGTGAAGAAGAATTATGCTTGTAAAATTATTAATTTATGTAATAAATTTTTAACTTTAATGTTTTTGTCTTACAGAAAAAAAATATGACATATCATTTTTAAGATTAACTTTTAAGCTCTTGAGAAAATTACTTTTTTTTCTTGTAAAACGAATTTCAGTCACTCTTAAATTTAGTTTTCAATTCAATACTAAATTCGTAGTAAAATGAAGAAATATTGTCAACGAAGTTCAATATTTAGCGCGTTATTTAACATTACTATGAACTCTAAAACACTATCAATCATACTTTAACATCAATAAATTCAAAACAATCACTAGAAGAGCAGTTAGTTTGTCTTCATTTAAATACATGATATTGTGGTATTGTCGTTTGAGTCAATAACAATAGAACTTTTATCAGATTTTCGGCTACTTGAAGAACAAAAAAATTACTCATTACTTAAAATAATAAATATTTATAACATATTTAAAATGTTTATTTACTTATTTTTATCAGTTTAAAAGAATGATTCGCTATTGAGTTTAAACAACTAGTAGAGTTATAAATTTCCAGGTGAATTATTTTGTAATTTGATTTTGTGTATAAATAATACTTATTGAAGCTAATATCTAGACTTCAAGCACATATTTTTTTGTAATTTTTTAGGTAATTTTCATAATTTAATTGATAATTTAAGAAACAGTATTGTGAAATTTTCATAAAATGATTACCATAAATATTTATACAATGAGAATATTAAGTTCTTGATTCTTTTCTGCATAATTACTTTATAATTCTAAACTTTATGCAATAGCGGATCAATTTTTTTTTCAAACAAAATGGAATTTTTTAAGAGCAGATAAATATTTCAACGTGAATATGCAGATAAATATTTCAACGTGCTTTAAAACTTGAAAATAAATTATTAAATTTGATAATTTTCTTCATTTGAAAAATATTTAGTTAAAATTTACCTTAGAACAAATTGTATATTAACTAGAGCTAACCACTATTTTTGAGAAACATTAGCAAATCCTACTTTCAATGAAACAACAACAATAAAACTAAGGAGAGTTAAAAATAATTTCCTATCAATATAAAATTAATAATTAAAAAAATATTATTTCCCTGTAGTGTTTCAGCCTTTTTTTAAAGTGAAAACGGCTAACAATCAGTTTTAAATAACATAAACATTGTTAAACTTTAAAAAAATAATGTTTATTTTATTTAAGCTCTTATTATCGAATTAACAAACATTTTCAACATTCTTATCTTTATCACTAACAGCCTTAAACTGAATTTTGGGTTTAAATTTTCTCTTCATTAATTTTTTAATACCCGTAAAGATTTGATTTTTTTTTCTAAAATAATATCTATCCTATTTATTTCTTAGCTCGTTACCTTTTATTTAAAAAAATAAAACCAATTATGAAGTCAAAATGTTTCGAGGAAAGAAAGAGAATACAAAATTAAATTATTTAAAATTAATATTTTTAGTTTCAAATAAGTTGAGTAAAGAATACATTTTTCCTTCTTTTTATTAAAATAAATAATCAAATAATTAATAGAATTAATGAATAATTAATGAGTTTGTAAACTCAAATTGGCTCTCTGCTTAAATAGATTTTAATTTTGTAAACAATGATTATTTAAGTTTGGAATTTTATTTAAAGAGCTTCATTTTTAAATACGGTCCTTTATGGCATTTGTTCACCAACGCTTTCATTTGTCTCAAATAAAAACTTTGAAAATACGACACATGCAATACTTTTCGAGTACTACACTACATAAAACAAAAATAGAGACAAAGAGTTGAAACAAGTAATTTAATTTCACTTACTCGGTAACTTTCTTCTCATTAAATGATTTAATTCTTGTTCACTGCGTCTTGTTGGAGCCTAAATTACAAAAAGAGCACATTAATTTGTAATTTACACATATTCGATGACACACTGAGGCATTCATTTCTGAAAAATAATCTAAGTTTGGAAAAGTATTAACAAAATTCATTATAATAAATGGCTACAAACTTTAAAAAACGAGAAAACAATATTTTCAAAATATCGACCATTTGCGAAAACGACGTGCGGTCTGAGAGGACGAAAGTAACAGTGCAAATATTTAACTTAGAATGATCTGATGTGCTGCAGAAAAAACAGTTTCAGAATTCTTCCAATCTGTAGTGTTATCTGTTCACAAGCTTTGCAAATATTTTTAAAATTTGACAGTACAAAAATCAACTAGTTTCTTAAGCAGACCACAGCAAATCGTGCATCTTTAATCTTTATCTCTTTTCATTTTTTCACTCGATTTTTCAAATAATCGGTTGCTTTTGGACAATCGATAAATATGAATTATTCGGCTCCGAAATATATATGATTTTGGGCAAACTTTGAAAAAATACCTGCTTTTATTTGAAATGCTCCAAAAGTAATTTATTTAAAAACTTTTATTCACTGTACTATTTTTCTCAGTTATTTAGATAAAAAATTACAATATTATCAAAATTCGGCCGAAATAAAAGTATCTTAGTATTATTTGATAGAACTGTATTTTTTAAATATTAAAATACGCAATTTATTAGACATTAATACTATAATTATTACTTTTATTAAAATATCACCAAAATAGTTGCCATCTTCTGCTTTATGTGGAAGAGTTTTATCAAATAATTTGTCTGGTAGCAAATTTTTCACTTGAACATTTTTGATGTGAAAATTTATTGATTTAAATCTGATTAATACTGATCTTGATTAAATCTTGATTTAATACTGATTGTGTTCGCTTTTTAAATGTTTGCGAATTGAAATCATTTTCACTTATCTTAATTGTTTTACTACCACTTTCAAAAAACTTGCATTTTAGGCTGGTAAGTGTAATTTGAAATTAAAAAGTACATTTAAGGCAGTATTAAATATGCATAATTAAACCTTGTCATCTAAAATTATATGTATAATATAGTGCAATCAATAAGGAAGTTATAGGCTGATATAACGGTTAATTGTAAGCGTTAAAATAAAATTCAGCTTCATAAAAATAAAATTTAAATAACCTATAAGAAAAAATTTTCTGATCTCAGTCAAGAACCTCAATTGATTCCGTGACAGAATAATAATATACAAATATATGGAAATAACAACTGAACTTTGAAACCTTAACTAATTTTTAGGAACTACAAACAAGCTGTACTTCAGACTGAACACTTTAAAATCGATTAAGAAACCAAATCATTGCATCATAAATTTACTTTTTGCCCAGTCTTTTTAACAGTATGTAATTTGCATTTACATTGCTTGAATTTTAAATTTAAATTCTTGATTTTTTACACCACAAAATATTTTTTGACGATTGAAATTTTATATTCTTGATCCATTTTTGTTTGAAATATATGTTTTTCTTTATATTTTGCTTCGTAAGAAATATTTTGTAACTACTTTACTATAGTTTCAAAAGTAAAATTTTCAATTTTAATTCTTTGTCAAGAATTTTATAATAAAATACATTGACGCTAAAATTATATATTCGTTTTGAGTTTTTCAATATAGCACCTTTTGTTTCATTTTCGATTGAGAAAATTTAATGTAAGACTTTAGTAAAATTATGTAAAAGATATTATTTCAAAATATATGATTATTGAAATAAAGAATTTACAGAAAATTATATTTATACTGTAATATTATAAATTATTACCTTCGTTTGATTTTGTCGTTTTGAAAGCATGTTTCATATTTATTAATTTGTAAAATATCTTTTAATTGAACCCTTTTTGTTTTTGTTTATTTATTGAGAACAACGTAATATATTATTTTAATTTTTTGATAAAAACAAACGAGTTTCTTGTCTTATAAATAAAGAGTTTTTAATTTATTCTACCTCACCTTTTTTTTGCAACATATACAATTCTTGCTTTAACTTCTGTCAATTCTGTGTGTTTCGGTAATTTTTTTTAAATTATTAATCGCTTTTGATTACAATTAACTGCCGAAATTGCACTTTAAATTTGAGATGAAACGTCATCTTTTCTTACTATTTCAGCATTTACGAAAGTAATCTGTTGGTGGTAAAAGTATACAAGATTGATATATATGTCTACATATCAGCATTTTCATCCCCAAGCAGTTATTCGTTTCGTATAGACATTTTTTTATTAATAGTTCGAATTATTTGACAAAGTTGCAAAACTATTTTAACTAATTCAAATTTTGAAAATCAGAATTAATAAAAGAAAGTGAAAAAATATTTATTTAGTTTTTAAAAACATTTAAAAAATCAAATATCGCAGATAAATAACTTGGATAAAATAATTCCAATTTAATTTAATTTTTAGGTCGTAGTTATTTTCAAATTAAAATTTCAATTACTCATTAAAATTAATGACTTTTTGCAAGCATTGATTTAATTTTGTTATTCGCCTATGGCTTTTGAAGAATTCAAATCAATGCAAAAATATAATACCAGATTTACTTTTTGTTGCAGTGACGTCTTAAATATGTAGGGGATAATTTATCGCCTTTTTAAATAAATAGTTTTAGAAATTTTTTTAAACGCAACAAAATTTCAAAGTGGACATCATTTGATAACCCATATTGTTTGTAAATTGCTTACAGTAGTACTACTGCTTTCATTAAAACCATTTTGTTTATTAAGGGTTTTTCTGGTGCAAAAACTGGGCCAATTCTTACCACTTCCGGGTCGTTTCACTATATATTAAGAAAAAGTGGAATCAAAAAGAATTAAAAATGTCATGATAACTAATATAGTAATAAAAAAATTTTCTAAATAAATAATATATTTTATAATTGTGTCTTAAATATTAAATAATTATTCCTTGCTAAAGCAATGATAAATTAAAATTTTTAAATGAATTCGATTTGATCCAGTAAATTAAACTTTCTGAAAACAATTCAATTATTCGCTTATTGTTTGCTTAAAGTTCTCTTAAAGTTTTCTTTATTTTTTCATGCCGTGCCTCTTCTTGATTGCATTTGATATTTCTTATCAAGATTTTACTTTTAATAGACAATGTATTCACCCTGGTTAGCATCATACTTTCAATGCCGGATTGAAAATGAATCGAAATTGTTCGAAAAAAATGAATTGGTTTTTAAGACTAAAGACATTACTTTCCTGCAACCCTAATATTTCAGGATGCGTCAAATTTTTTAACTGGCAGGTTGCATGAAAATTCAGAAAAAAATTAAAATAGGAAAGCAAAAAAGAAAAAAAATTTCTATGTATTTTAATAACAAATAACAAAATTAAAACATATTTCATAAGAAAATACACTAAAAATGCCTCGCACGGGACCATGAAATCACCGATATGTTAACATCAACCACAAATAAATGAAAATATTATACTACCTCTTCTTAAGTATTGCCCAAAAAATAAATATTTATATATATGTCTCTACTAGTTTCAAACAATTAAGGAAATCCCATTGTGTTCATTTCTAATTTTTTTTCCACATTTATGCCATATTCAATTTTTATATTAGATCTTATTTAGAATGCTAGAAAGTGGAATACTCAGAAGAAGTTGATATTTATTTGAAAACACTAAAAACCAAAAATAATTTTGATTTGAAAGGGAAAATCTCTCAGTTATTGCTTATAAAAGCATTTGTCAGCAGCAATAACTGCTGGGTGAAAATATTTTCTCTTGTACCTCTCGATTGAAGAATGGTTAACCATGCGTGTCATCCAGCAATTAAATACGGAAATATTCCCTGGCTGTAATACGTGAGGCACAATAAAAATTTTTGGCACTTGCTGATGTGTGAAGCCAACCGTGGCGCCAAATTTGTTGCTGTTTAATATCGAGTCAAAGGTATTATTCGTTTCTCCTCACTTAGCATTAAAGAAAGAGAGTTTGAAAGAGTGAAAATTATCTACGGATGGTATAGCAAAGATCTTCAAGCGTCACCCTTTCTTACAACTTCATTGTAAGATGCTGACTGCCTTTAATTATGAAATATTTTAACTCTAATCCTCCATACATGGTTTGATGATATCTTGATTTTCATTTAAGTGCAATCATTTATAGTTTTAATGAATTAAGGTGATTCAATCGTAACGAAAAGAGAAGACTCAATTAGCTAAACTCTTTTAGTGATTTTGAAATCACTATGTAAGTGTCGGTCACTGATTATGCTAGTCTATGACTCACAACAACATGTTAATACTTTTAGTACAAGTCAATTCCAATTTAAATCATACTGAGAATTTTCGTCAAGGCTTTGAAAAACTTTGTCGTCACTTGAAAATATTTGTTTTCCCATGTTTCAGAGTTCATACACTATAAAAATTTCATACCGGTACTTTTTTTTTCTTCATGAAATTCATTTTTATCGAAGCATGCTATCAAAAAAAATCTGATATGCAGTAATTTTTACAGTAATAATTACCGCAAAATCATTGAATTACTCTAACTAAATAAATATTACTGCAAAAATTATGGTGTAATATTTTATGGTATTAATGGGTTATACGGACGATGCACCCAAAGTGTCGGTATTTTATATCGTAATTTGATCCAGAATTTTTTGCAGTGTATATTTTCAAAACTTAAACCATTATCTCTGCGGTATGTTATAATCTTAGTTAAATCATTTTAAATGACGATAGGCACGAAAAATTAAATTAAAGCAGGTAATTAAAAATATATTGTCTCCTCAAATTTCACAATTAATTTCATGAAAACATCCAAAATTATTTTTACTAATCTTCTTTTTCTCTCCAAAATGCTAATTTTTCATTTTCAGTCCCAATGAGGATGAAAATATGGTATGAATTGTTGAAAAATGGTATACCAAAAACAAGGCATGCATGGTTGAAAAATGGTGTACAAAAAACATGGTATACATAGTATACAACATGGTATTCATTGTCTACAAGAA